TCCGTTTTCAATAATCGTTTTTGGCGTGGTCAGATATTGCCTCTTCATTGCACCTACTCACACTGGGTTATTTTACATCTGTTGTGTTCTAAGTCCTTGCACATTGTCAAGTACTTCAAACCACCGTTAGAAAGCAGTAGTTTTCACGATTTTGAGGTTTAGATGTGTTATATTATGTGATTGCAGATGATTCTTTATTTATAATTTATTGGTTGCATGTGTTCGGTAATATTACAGATGACATTATAATAAATGTTGTACCGGAGTGTGCCAAGACGGGAGGGAGGGCTAATGAAATCAGTCATAGTTGACCTAATAAAGAAAATTTTAAAGTATGCTTTGGTAATGGTATGGGGAGTGGCAACTGAAACACGGTCAAAGTTTACATAATGACCTTTTGTGAAATGCTCATTGGTAATAGGGAAGAGGTGTGGCTACTGAAACACTGTCATAGCCGACCTAATAAAAGTCTAAATTGAGATGTCTATGTTGATAATAATTTTCTTTCCAGTAAACAACAGATTTGTATTCAAATTACCATGTTTTCCGTTTTTTAAATACTTTAATTCAAAGTTTAAGAGCGTTGCTTTATATTTCATTCTATCAGATTTCTTCTTTTGTATATTTGATTCTGTAGAAATGATCACTGTCATGTAAATAATAGTTATTCCCTTTTCGACAAGTACTTCAGTTATACATTTGTTAAGAGGTGTTTTAGAAAAGATGGTGGTAATATCGCGTTTGAAGAGGTTGATGGTGACATTCACGAATTGATTGACCTTTATATAATAGTTAATTTTTCCAAGATGAGTGTAGAGCACTTAGCTTCACAAGGGATATTTGACCACATATTGTTGACGTGATTTTGTTTTAAGTGTTGGTATTTTTTCTTTGCAAGTTCATATAAAAATGCATGAATGTTGATAATAAATAATATTTGAAGCAAATAACATGCTTTTTCAAAAGAATATCAAATTCTATCTCTTCCTCTTTTTTCGACCATTAAGACAACTGGCAAGAAAATAAGTAATTTTTTTTTATGTAGAAGTTTGTGCTCTTATGGGTTATAAGTGAGATTTAATAGTTTTTTGCATAACCTTATGTTACATCTACCGAAGCAGTTGTTTTCTAATCTTTCGAAATAGCATGTTGTGTGCTTTTTCTCGATATAATTTTGCTTTTGTCCAATGTATGGATATCCCTTCACATACACATATTATACGGGCCGGCAGTATCATATATACATTGTAACATTGAGTATTTTTATATAGATGTGTCGTTGATTTTGATAATGGAAATTTTTCGTTTTGTTTTGTTTTTAGGTGTTTCTCTCTCTCTCTCTCTCTCTCTCTCTCTCTCTCTCTCTCTCTCTCTCTCTCTCTCTCTCTCTCTCTCTCTCTTAAAGAGTTTGACATTTATTTAGTTGGTATGTTTTTAGAGTTACTTTGATTCGAATTCACACTTGGAAGTGAACCCTTTATTAACTTGTTAATAACAAAATGCAGAAGGGTATTTTTTCTGAATCTCACTTAGCATAAATAACATTCATAAAAGTGACAGAGCCATCGGGTTAGTGTCACTGCTATGCTCGTATATATTTTACAGTATGTTTTTACTTTTTCACACTATTTAGTCGGTGAGACACGTGAATTCTTGTATTTTTTCTTCAGGTTTTCTTTTATTCCCGTTGTTTAATATTACAAAATATAACCCAATGTCAATACAAACACGAACAATTGAAACTCCACTTGCATGGACAAATTTTCTTAAACTGCATGGTTATATCACAGTTATGATTAATGTTGAAAATAACTTTATAACAATTTGCATGTGGTTTTGTCGTTGTTTTTTTGTTTGTTAAATCGTCAAGATAAAAACGGCAAATACTATACGGTGATCATAAATAAACAATAAAATTCTAATAACGTTACTTAAGGTATAGTATGGGGTGTACAAATAGTGGAATTTTATAAAAGTACTTTATGGTTCTATTTACAGAAATATAATAAAAAAGTAGGTGTTGCAAACCTTAATTCTAAGCTTAAGGTTTTGAGCAAAATTCTTACATTTTCTTAGTATCATTCAAGGAGGAAGCATTATTATGTAATAAGAAGAAAATTAGTGATAGAATTTTGAGATACTAAAATTTAATTTCGGAAGAATGATTTTTCAAAATAATGTTTGGCTAGAACTACAGGAGTATCAAAGTAACTATTTTATACACACAATCAAACAGTCGTTGATCCATTGAACATGCATGTACAAGTCTGAAGCAATTCAAAGGAGACAAAGTTTAGCAAACAAATAATCACCATAACATACGCAATGTTGAAACAACAGACAATTATGCATGAATTCCAATGAAACCGAGAGTGATTGCATGTGCTACGGAAGGGTAATAAATGAGTACTTGTGTTGTTAATAAAACTTATATCTTGGTCTTACTGACATGAGTAAAGTACCGTCAAATTATTGCAACATCCCATTCTGCAAAGTTGACCTAAAACGATATTGGCTGTACTGCAAAGGTCCTTTTTGGTTTTGGTGTTCTTGCATGTATTATTTTTTTTGTTTACCAAACTTTTTGTCTCGTGCATTCCAGAAACACGTGTCGTGCACACTTAAATTTGTTTCATACGTTTATATTATATGTTGTAAACTCCAGAATTTCAAATTTCTAATTTTTCTTACTGTTATTATATATATGTATACACGTCTAAACATGAGACGAATTATATATATATATATATATATATAGTTTTCTGTTTAAGTATTAAATTTAAAATTAAGATCCATTTATTACATCGGTGATCCGTTTATTTGGCAATCGCCAATGGCAGTCAGCAGGGTTTAAGAACATTTGTTGTTCGACCTGTTAGTCAAATGAGTTTTGTTAAAATATACTTTTTCACTTTTTTGGTCTTTTGGAAAATTTTGTTTGTGCTGTATTGAGACCCCTCTAACAAGAAATTTGTTTTGCATGCACACGTATAAAAATTGCGGTTTTTATCCAACGCAATCATAGGTTTGAACGTTGTTTTCAATTTAGACTTGTTTATATTTTTTCGTTTTTGCTTGTATTATATTTGCCTTAGGGTTTGTATGATCCGTTCATCCTATTCTGACTCCTCAAAATTCAAGAGTATATCCTAAATTATCCTAAATTGAGGTAAATTGTCGGGCTTTCCAAATACCGTTTCGATTCCTAACATCACTGAAGAGACATTATTTGTCGAAATCCGGATATGGTGTACAAAAACCTTTGCACCTTTTGTTTGCGGTATATCATCTTTTCCGCAAGTTTATTGTTTTCTGTTAAGTATTAAATTCAAAATTAAGATCCATTTATTACATCGGTGATCCGTTTATTTGGCAACCGCCAATGGCAGTCAGCAGGGTTTAAGAACATTTGTTGTTCGACCTGTTAGTCAAATGCGTTTTGTTAAAATATACTTTTTCACTTTTTTGGTCTTTTGGAAAATGTTGTTTGTGCTGTATTTAGACCCCTCTAACAAGAAATTTGTTTTGCATGCACACGTATAAAAATTGCGGTTTTTATCCAACGCAATCATAGGTTTGAACGTTGTTTTCAATTTAGACTTGTTTATATATATACATGTATATATATACGTATAGGCTATATTCTATTATTATCCATAAACTTAAGCTATTTTACAATTATAATTGTATTAAAAAAATCAGTTTTTTTTTTTTTTTTTGCTACATAATTTTGTAATTTCTCGTGTGTATCATGCAAATCGAAATTTCTATCGGATGTTTCGAAAACAAGGGTCTATCGTTTCTAAACTGGTATAAAAAGTTTGAAATTTAAGTTAACGGTACAGTCTGAAAAAACAGCGGTTGTGTAATTAAAACTTTTTGAACCATTTTTGAATGTATGAAAGTACCAAATAAAAAAAAAAGAATAAACGAACTACATAAATTAAATACATTGTCATTTATTTTGTAATATAATATATAATATTTGTACAATCAACAATGACTAAATGCGAAGAAAATCATTGTTTTTTTTTTCTTAAACATTAGTACAGAAAACTCTTCTCAGATTTTTAGATGATGTCTTATTACTTAACTACTGAAAGCAGTGTCTGATGATCAACCTTTTACCTTTAACAGTTCAAAATTGGGTTTTTTTCGAACCTCTTAAAATAATTTAATATTTTATGCCGTTTTTCTTCTATTCGCGATAAGATTAACATTAATTTAGTATCATTAAATCGGGTCACGGATGGTTATTTGAAAAAAAAAGAATGTTAAAAATCTCTTTATTTCTTTCAATAAAATTGAGAATGGAAATGGGGAATGTGTCAAAGAGACAACAACCCGACCATAGAACAGACAACAGCAGAAGGTCACCAACAGGTCTTCAATGTAGCGAGAAATTCCCGCACCCGGAGGCGTCCTTCAGCTGGCCCCTAAACAAATATATATACTAGTTCAGTGATAATGAACGCCATACTAAACTCCAAATTGTACACAAGAAACTAAAATTAAAAATAATACAAGACTGACAAAGGCTAGAGGCTCCTGACTTGGGACAGGCGCAAAAATGCGGCGAGGTTAAACATGTTTATGACAATAGCCAACAGAATCTTTCATTCAATTTTTGATAGATTGTAAAAGAATTGATGGTTCATTTAGCTCTAGTCCGGTGCATCATTTGCATCTGTTTCTTAAAAAAAGTAAGAAAGTTATAGCACTTAAAAATCATTTACCCTAACGTTATACGAATCAGACTATAACACTGAAAACTTATCAGTTTAGCAATTCAAGGGCATGCTACTTTCGGTATTGTATGTCGTTGGGTTTCTGTCTCATTGTCGTTAATCCAGCATCATATACAGATATGTTTATGAAATATTTCTTATTTTCAGATCTATATATAAAATATGTAGACAACCTAGATTTCAAATAAGGACGACCCTAGATATTCTGTTTCATTGTTTCAAACTATCAAAGAAGAAATTTAAAAACAGTAATAAGAAAACATATTTTATTAGTTTTTTATGAACTCGAATTCATTTTGTTATCTCAAAGAAAGTTTTGGGAAAGCTGAGGTATCAGATATTTTAACAATGGGACTTTGCATAGAATTAAAATTAGAATTATAATATTCAATTAATATACAAAACAAATCCTCCTGTTAACGGATTCTCTCAATATAAATATCGTATTCGTTCAAATATTTGTCCAGTCCAGTCTGAACATCTAATATCAGTATCCCGGTTCAACCTTTGTTCTTTGATTTCGACCACAACAGTTATCATCACAATTAAAAATAAGTGGCAGTATCAAAAACGAACGTTTTGGCAGACTAGCGGCTATTGCACTTTGTCATGGAGTCACAATCATTGTTCTCTATTCATATAGTCACCAAGCCCTTATCCCCGGATGTTGCGATTGCTGTGACATATAACCATTCTGTTGAATCTGAGTCATCTGTGGCATTGAGGCCATGTGGCTATTCATGGAATTGTATGAAGGAGAGGAATAAACAAACGGGTTAACGTTGTATGGTGCCGAGTATGAGGGTGTGACATTCTGACCGACACACGGTTTTCCATCCCTCACTAGAACAGGAACGGAAACTCTCCTGGGTGGTTGCATATTTGAAAGTTCTAAACTTTTATCTTGACGCTGACGCTTACATTTGTATCTCCTGTTTTGAAACCAGATTTTGACTTGAGTAGAAGATAGTTTTAACAGGCTAGCTAACTGTTCTCGTTCTGGTGCAGATAAATATCTCTGCTGTTTGAAACGCCTTTCAAGTTCATACACTTGAGCTTGTGAAAATAGAACTCGTGGCTTTCTTCGGGTCCTTTGTTTTTGGATTAAATGGCACTCTCCTGGTGTTTTATCTGTAGTTTTGTTGTCTTTGTCGCTTTCTTCACAAGATGGTGACGCCGAGTGATCTACAAAGACAAAAGTAAACACTTCAAAATACGTAATTGAAAAACTTTTATTCTAAATTAATAAAACTTGCTAAGTCAGAAGCGCCGACATGAAGTACTTCTGTGCACGAGTTTGTCATCAAGTATATATTATATAATGACTTTCTGTAATTTTCGATTGTCGACAGCTAATTAAAGAACGATATATTTATGTCCCGCTACACGAGCGTCCAACAAAAACTGATTAAAAGCTACATAGTAAATTGTTTCATCAGCTTTTGTATATCTGTTTTATACCACTACTTAAATCTGCAATCTTTCTAACAAAAAATACGCTAAAATTCTAGTTGAAGTTCAGTCATTTTTTTTCATTTTTTCGAGAAACGTTTTTGCCGCAATATCATACTTTTTAACATTATATTTGTTATACAATAATCAATACAGGCAAAAATTCTCGCCGTACATTTTAAAAGTATTTCAGGGTTCAAAACGAAATTATTGTATTTTTTTTTTTTGTAATTAATTATAATGGTTATGAATATTCATTTTTTTTAACTAAAGAAAAAGAAACAAACGCCCCTTGTCTGTTTAAGTTACATCGCACTTGAAAACCCGCATGAGGTTGATACTGTATAACTGTTGCCGTTAATCATCATCAACATTCTTTTAATTCTTAACTAACCGTGTGCGTTTTAACAAAGTTGTTTTCCAGTAATTAAAACGTCTAAACAAACAGTCGGATTTGTCCTTGATTTAGCTAATTTTCGATTTCTCAAATGTTCTGCAAAATTTGAAGTTAATTCTTATGGAACAACCGAGTAAATATTTTAGTTTAATAGCGATTTTTAAAAAGACACGATTGTTAAATTAACTGGTGTAGCAATTTTTACAAGCTTTATAGTTAAAAGAAAATAAATTTGGTTTGCTATTTTCATTTCTAATCAGGGTGATATGAAATATTAATATTGGTGTTCGTAATTTTTACATTCGTGCTTTGTTCATGCCGTTTTGGGAGTACCTAGACTAAGTGTGCGGATATAAAAGACGGGAAAATAAAATCAAATGTATATTATATTATCTGTATATAACTTTGTAGACAAATATGTGACACTTTAATAAAATAAATTATTATTATCATTATCATTATTACAAAACATAATAAAGGTTTCAATTCATCACATTTTCTAGCCTTTCACTGCTTTCAATTTCAACGAGCTTTTGATTTACCAGAAACAAAATATATTATAAATATTTAATTGAATTACAAACGATAACAATCCAAAGTGATTCATTTGTTTATTAATCAGTAAATTCTCTTTTGGAAGAAAAGTGAACTTGTATTCTATGGTTGAATTGAACATTCCAGCTTTCTGTTAAATACTGGAGACAAAGTTTGAACGATAACAAAATCGAAGAGAAGGAACACAAAACTACTAAGAATTACAACTTCACAGGGCGATTTTATGTCTTATAAATAAGTTTGTTTTGTGATCTTTGTACGCTTGCCTGGTTTTGTACTCATCCATGAAGTTTGTCAGATAAGCTTTACTATGATGGGGGTATGTTTTAATAAAATGCATTTTTGTACCGTATGACCTTTCTGGTGTTTTTCTTTAACTAATTCCACGATAACCTTTAATGATACAGAGAAGTATTCTGTAGATTGTCTTATGAATTATGGGTTGGCATAATGCATTATTTTTGATGATGAAATATTTACAAATAGAAAATAGCGAAAAAAATAAATAATAAAAAATACAGAATGTTGAAATAGTGTAATCGAACAGAAAATCATAATTATAATTGTAAAGCCGTAATGTAAAACATTGTTGGGGGTCGTGTTGCTCTGAGTTTTAAGGTTTCTGTGTAGTGTTAATATGTCAAAACAGTGGATTAAATTAAATTTTTTGTCCACTTTTTTGTATTACGCGTCTGTCCTTCTTCAACTTATTAATGTGCATTGCACCTTGGGTAATTTATTTCTTTGTTTCTTCGAGTCATTTTTGACTTACTAAAACTTATCAACAAGATTATGTTCATTCTACTAATTGTGTTTTCTTTATTTTATTTCTCTTTATTAATAATTTTTGTTTATCTATTTTTGTAAATATAAATAATACATTAAATTTAAATAACATCTTCTGTTTTGAAGTAATTTGTTCCCTCGTTTAGACGGCAATAATTTAAATGAAAAAATCTTTTCGACAGTAATAGACTTAAAAAAACAAACTTTTCGACAGTAATAAACTGCAAAAAAAAATCTTGTAGGATTTTTTGTTACATTTGCAAGCTTTTACTCTCATGTTTATTAAATAGGGTTAATAAATAAATATGAAATACGCACATATTGATAAAATTATTAATTTGCATGATCAAAAGTTTTAGTTAAAATTCAATATGCTACTTTTCGAAGAAAAATGAATTCGAATGACTCCATCATCATATCAAATATAAATATATAATAGACGTTTCAAAGTTCTTATCAATCAGAAAATATCAAAGACATCTGGAAATATTAAATTGTTTATGTGAGAAAACATAGATATTGTCGGTCTATCTACCAGTAATCAACCAGAATATATCTTAAATTTCTCTTGCTAAACGGCACACTAAAATCATGGGAAGTAATGACAGAAATTCTCATGAAAACAGAGAAAAATACAAACAAATGAAAAAGGAGCTCGTGTAAGATAACATTAAAATTAAATTCAAAGCTTGACCTTGAAACTGGGGTTTGTCTCTATGACTTCGCCCGTATTTATTTTGTCCACCCATCGTGTTGTCTGTTTTCCTCGACTTAATAGTTTTTGGTTCCCCTTGGTATCAACTACTCCCGTTTCTTAAATTTGATTTTGATTTTTATTTTAAAAGCATTTCTATTTATTTCGGTATCATAGAAATATGCTAAGACTAAAGTTTTCATGTTAATTCACTCCTACACTTATCATAAATCTTTGATTTAAATACAACGCGACAATATGAGTATTTTTTGCATTAATGTAAGCACACTTTCATTTCATTTTTTTGCCTCTTTCATATATGTGAAGTTCAAACAAAATGTGAAATTGAATTATTCTGGGCACTTACATGAACTTAAATGAAAATAACGTTTCCTGAATGCAGAACTAATTTATTTTTTTTATTTTTTAAAGTCTTATCAGACGGAAATAACAAAATGAAAGTTGAAGTACTTCAACAGAACTTTATTAAAATGTAGAGAAATTTTCGTGTTTCCTTCTCTTTCAACATGTGTAAAAAACTAAGATCTATTTGTCGGAAATGTATTTGAAATTGATATAAATCAAAATTTCACACATGGTAAACGTAAAAGAAAATTAAAACTTGGACCCGTTAACTTAAACTTCCGTCACCCGCACGTCTCCTTGATTTCCTAATGATAAGATTTCAATTTAATAAAAATTGTCGAAAATGACATTTGTGGATTAAAAAGATTGAATTCAAATTTCTTAATACTGATACTGCGTTATGGGATAATACTGAACTCTTTATGTTTCATCAGGAAACCCCAGATCCTGCTTAATTTAATACATGTTGGTACAAATATCTAATTAGTAGGCTCGTTTTCCACTTCATTATTTTATCAAACTTCCATTTAACTTCCGACCGGACCGAGTAACCCAGTATTAATAACTCCATTCTAAACGATTTATATACATAGCCTTTGAACCCAATAGTTCGTGGACCGCGAGCTGTCGCATTAAAATTGTTTCCCACCGAGATTTCGATGAGGTTTACAGAGATTTAACGATAAAACTATTTCTTTGCCGTATATCTTCTGCATCATAAACGGCTGAACACATTGCAGTTTATATATACTAATAAAAATTATGAGGCATACCATTCACAAATTTATTCCAGTTGCGATTGTATCGGTTATTATTTTTCACATATTTTATATAAATCACTTTATCAGCATATCAGATCGTCCCTTGATTTTACTTCGCCGAACAAATTAGTTAGATATAGAGTGTAAAAAAAACAAACATGCATTTTTTACTCACTTTTATATCAGTTTCAGTTTCTTATTAACTTATTTTTTTGTAATACTACTGTATGTTCGGGGTTATCCTTTAAAAAGGTATTTACGTCCTTCTAATCGCTGTATTATAATTTTTCCTCACTTTTAAATAAATTACTTTAAATCTCTACGCCATGTGAATGAAGAAGGTAGAATACAGAATAAAAGAAACTGGAGATTTATTGAGATAAATAGACTATAGGGGGCTTTATGGTATGGTACAATTCCTGGCCAAACAATATCACGAATGAATAAAATTTACTGTATTTTTGGATGGATCGTGAAGAATCTTGGTTTGATCATGATTTCATTCGTTCATTCATTATGGTAATCATTTAATCTCTAAAAAAATCTTTTAAATAAAGATAAATATATGAGTTACTTTAATCTAAAAACTATTTTACTTCGAATAATAACAAGATTTATGAAGTTCAGTGAAAATCATGTGTGCAGGACATTTTTTTGCAAACTACAAGTATAACATATTATTATTCGGTAGGATATTTAAAGGTTTAGAAAGTTAAAAATAAATTCATATTTCCGTAATTTTATCAAGTCATATCCGATTTTTAATATGTTTGTTTACAATTTTGCAGCGTCAAAAGATATTTTGACCGACCTGATCGGAAATATAAACAAATCAAAGGCATTAATCCAGTGGAAGAACAGAAATTTAAGAAGTTTATGTTGTAATATACCAAAAAACTTAACAATAATTTGGGAAGAAAAGTCGGTTGAATGTAAACATCACAAAGGTCATAATCCGATCGGATTTGGACCATTAGAAATAGTGAAAATACCATTCGGAAGTATTAGCTAAAGTAATCTTGCACGATTTTTGAATTAAATATTATCAACAAGTCTTTCGGCCTTTCCCGCACTTTTGAATTAACCTTTGACTGACTTTGTATCCTTTTATTTCAGATATAACCAAAGTTGATATGATCTTAAAGTTTTGACAAAATCCATTGACAGTAAGCATTTAATAACCCGAAAGGTTCAGTAGGGATAAATATGATAAACACACACAAAATTAACTCAACTTTACAATTTTAAAACAGCATCACAAAAAGCATCAGTGTATTTTTGAATTGTAAAAAAGTCAATTTTAAAACGATAAGATTCTTCTTTAATGTTACAAAGTAGGCTGAAAAGGGGACAATTATTTCATAACAATTCACAAAAAAAAGAACTTAACAGTGGAAAATTTTTTCATAACTATTCACGACAGTACTCATCAAAATGAAGTATAGGAATAACTTTAAATATGAAAAGAATAAAAACAGAAAAATAAGTATTATTATCATTTTTAAAAATGTGTATAATTTGCTTCATTATCAGATGTAAAGTAATGATGATCGTTCTAAAAACCTGATACTCTGCATACTGTAGCAATGCGTGCTTTGATCTCAAAAACTATTAAAAATTAAACATTTCGAAACTTAATTTTCTTGTAGAACACTCAACACAAGTAAACATGGTTGAGTGAAGGTTAAGTTGGAGGTAATATATGAACCAATGCACACTATATACCCACTTATTGTGTATTGTCTTCTTGAGAAATAGCACAATATAACTTTACTGTATTTCATTCAAGACACTTACATAATGCAAGAAAACTTTTGAAATAATATTCACCACTTCTACAAAACAACAATTCCTACTTCAATGCTAATATTTTGCCAATTCTTAACCCCTTGTGCGACAAGTGTGTTGTCGTGTAAAAGAGAAGTTACAAGATTCCAAAATGTCATCCTTAAACTTCAAAGACTCTGATACTGAGCAGACCTTCTTAGGAACACTTCGAAACCCGATCATTATCAAAGCATGTTTACAAAAGAAAATTAAATTTATAGACTTTTCAGATAAGTGGGTACTTTTTACCTATTGATATTCATTAAAATCAGAAAATCAGTAAATATTCAAAAGTGGCCGTATTAAGTGGCCCTTGATAAGTATTAAGGGGATGTATGGTTCCGACATCTCCCTCTTAAGACTTATTATATTCAACTTACGGTTTTCAAGAACATCCATTTCTACTTGTTCACTTTTTGGAGTAAGCAGTTGTGTTTCTGAGGCACCTTGTTTTCCTGTTCCAGAGTCCGGGGAATCTGTATGGTATTGTCCGAGGTCATGTCTAGATGGTCCATCAGATATAGGTAATGACTGTGGCGAAAGTGTCGTATACGTCGGTTGCATCGATGACATTGGCGGTGGGGATGTATTCCCTGGATACAAACACGAAGAACTGGTTCCGATCTGATCCATTCTATAATCATAATTTCCTGACATCGGAAAACTGGCATGAGAATAGTCCAAACCGGTATGCATGTTTTGTTGGTCAGTCCAGGGTGAATTGTGGTTCATCAGTATGTTATTAACCAGAAATGGCGAAGTTAAGTTGTGATTATTTGGATACGAAGACATAGTATCCACTTAATTTTTTTTCACTTTTTAAGTTGATGACATTCGCTGTGTATGATGAGGGTTAGCCTCTAGGCCACACGTTTATCATCAACAGAAATCTGAATCGCACAGCCAATCAAAACACTCCTTCTCTCTCACCGGATGAATTACAATTTCCTGGCTTGCAATGAAAACACAGATTTGTTGTTCTATTTCCGAAAATGAGGATTTAGGAGTTTTATATTAACTGGTATTATTTTTGTTTGTGTGTTTTTGATATTATTTTACCAGATTACAGGAAAGAGTCGTTTTAATATGCATTTTGGATCACGATTTAGTCATTTTCTTTAACTTTTAACGTTTCTTCTGTTTTTATTTATTTTATTAAGATATAGAATTACGTCAAAAGTTTTAAAAATCAATTTTTTAATTTACTAATTATGATTTAAGAAAGATTTTTTGTAAGAATTTTTATTAAGAAAATATGCGGCAATGGATAACGCATTGTTTTTCCTTATCGCAGTAAGATGTTTATATCTGTTCGTGTTTAGTTTGGGTTAAAAATCATTTACTAGGAATTTGTATGTCATTTTCTCCGATAAAAACGATATACCACAGTGAAAGTAGAATCAAATAGCCTAACACTGAACCATTTACCGCCCGCAGTTTGGGGGTGGTTTTTCTCAAAGCTATGAATGTAGCAAACGTATACGTGCCTTAGCCATATTGCACGTCAGTGTGTCGCGTTTTAGTTTATAGTATTCAAACAAATTCTAGGCTTGATGTCTGCAGTTTGGCCAGAAGATTAAATACAACTATCATGGAAACAGGACAACAAATTTACTTTATTCTATAAAACATTTTTATATTTTGTGAAACTTTGATAAAAAATATAGTAAATTTAGATTCGTAATAAACAATTTTGATAAGTATGTTTTAGATGATATAAATTCTACAGAAGTATAAGAGAAAATACACTCATTTGATATGCGCTTACCACAAATCATACAGTGACACAAGATATGCTATTAAAAAGAGTTTCATGAATAATTTGTTATTGTAGTACTGTACTGTACCAACTTCGAATAAAAGTGCCTGAATATAGAATTGAGAATGGAATGTGTCTTAGAGGGAATTTCATTGTTTTCCATCTTTATTTTTTCCATTACTTTATGAGAGTTATAATCTAACAATGCTGTCGTAGATACAATTAAATGCAAAGACGTTTGTTTCTGTTAACTACATGTTTGTTGGGTTGTTGTCTCATTGAATTGTTTCCTTATACCTACTTCATCAGTTATCACCTTTATAGTATGCATGTATACATCTATATCGCTTGTCTATAAAAACATTTCAGAATTGCCACTTTCTTCGACATATGGAAAAGTGTTTATTTCTACTTTCGATTTCCATTTTCCCCATAAAAATATAAACTGTACTCATAAAATAATTGATCACATGAAAATGGATAATTATATCCGTAAATTTGTATAAACTAATTAAACATACTACTCTGTAATTGTCGCATGCATATCACATTTTATTCTTCACATGATACGATCATGTTTAGATTTAACCCATTAGGAACAATTAATGAATTAGAAATCGCTTTTCCTGATTACACTTACGATGTGCATCTACTGAATTGGTTGTAAGTTTTCGTAGGTTTGAGTTTTTTTTTATGGAAAAACCTTAGTTAGTGTCTTTAGTGCAACAAATTCAAATAATTTTTATATATAACAAACAACCGTTATATTACTATCATAGTTTGCTTACTATTAGCTCTCCGCGAGATATAGTGTTTTGTTGTTCCTGAATTAGAAATCTAGTCCGGTGGAGTATACCTGCGTTCGTTTTAGAATATTGCGTTGTTACATGTTTCATCATAATTCCATTTTTAATTACTGGCCCTATCAATAAATATCTCTTAAGACTTTCTCTTTCTACTATTTTGCAATACCAGTATTAGAGAGAACATTGTTTTCTGTAATTATTTAAGACTTTTTTTTAAATTTCTGTATAAATTAGGGTAAGTCGACGAAGAAAAGAAAAACGTTTGCAAAAATATAAAACACTACATAGACAAGTACTAAACAACACAAAACCAGACAAAACCGGAAATGTACTATGCTTCCAAGAAGGATGAGCATGTCTAGCTTTACTGGGGGCGTCTGTGCCTGTTGCTCATGGAATATAAAATAGCTTGCATTCGATTATGTTGTAATTGAGGAAACGATGACGGGAGTTTGGCTACGACAAGTGAAACATATCCGTGCTAACATATCTGTGGTCATCATACAGATGACTGATTGATTGTCGGTTTATTAACCACCAGTCTTATAAATAATAAAATAACTGATATCAGTTCTATGTTTGCCAAAAAAAAGTTATAATAAAAAAAGATCCCTGCGATTAATTCTCAACACACTTTTGAGATTGTCTTTTCCCCCCAACACGATTGTCGTTATTAAAAAATAATTTTGAACGGTACCAACTTTACGGCGCATTGCAAACAACAATGTTTTTCAGCGATGGTCGAGGTGTTTGTAAATCCAAACCTAATATAAAAACGTTGACAACCTGATATAACCGGAAAGTACCAAAAGTAAACCCAAACCTGGACATGGAATCAGAACTATGTATGAGGGAGATACATTCCTTAATTTCAAAGTTAAAGTAGTAACAACTAAAAAGTCGAACATGGAAATGTGGCACCTCAAATATTTTCATATGTAACATATACATACACAAAAATCAGATGGGGTGATATGAATAAAGGGAGAAACATATAAATGGACAGGGAATCAGTTTTGATAATCCCTGTATGGATAGGGAATCAGTTTTGGTAATCCCTGTATGGACAGGGAATCAGTTTTGATAATCCCTGTATGGACAGGGAATCAGTTTTGATAATTCCTGTATGGACAGGCAATAAGTTTTGACAATCATTGTCCTCCTCCGTCTCGCGCATTTTGGATCCATAACCGAATAACTACATGTTGTAATTTGAAATTGTTTTTATCTTTAACAGATACCCTTTCAGTTATATCAAGAAGATCATTGATAACAGTTGATGGATTTGTTGGAAATGTTTTTTAATCTTTTATATGATTTGCAGACCTTTGATTTTTTTGGTGAATTTATTAACAACTTTTATAGACTCGGGATGATTTAGAACTTGTCATACTATATAGACATATGTCTACAGTTGGAGACTGTTTGTTACCCTCTACAGAAAAAGAAAAACAACACTTTATAAATAACATACGTCCGAAGCTCTTTTCTGGATTTACCTTCATCTTGAATGCTCAAAGCCGAATATTTTAAAGCGAAAGATGTATAAAAACCGAAACAGTTGAAAAACTTTATGACCAGATGTCTTTATGTTATTTTCAACATTGTGTTTCTGTCACATTGACATATTCAAATGTGTACAATATTATCTCCCTTTATTCAATTTTTTTAATTATTTCGTGTGAAAAAAATTATTCACAGGCTGTATTCGTGTGACTGATCAAAGTCTTTAATTGAATATTTTACTAAACTTTGGTCCATCGTTGTGGTTCATGTATAGTGGATTTTGTTGTCCCCAAATATTTCATATTTATTGATATTCCAACATTTTATTCCACATTAGTACGTCGTCCAGAGGCAAAATTTATAAATCTGAAGATGAATTCATTTAAGGCATTCGTTCAAAACGTTTTTCTGGGTTTATTCTTCATCGAGAACAACAAGAGTCGACAGTTTTGAAATCCAAATACGTATATATATTTATATAAATACAAGCTAAGTGCTACTTGGTAAATATTTCAAAAGGTCGAGAAAGCAATTGTGTAAGATGACACATAACTTCACGTTCCCATGCATAAATAAGAACAAATAAGGTGACAAATTAGTGTCTCCTGCTTTGCAAATATCGTTTTTTCACGTCAAATCACGGAAGAGTCAGAAGATCCAGTTGTGTGTGCTCTTTCACAAAAACATTATTACTAAGCAAGGACAAGTACTCAGCAATTTTAACTAGAACTACTCATCTCCACGATATTGATAAATGACCTTGAGAGGGTTTTTTTTTCAATTTTTATTTGGTGGCAATATTTCTCCTTAATCGTTATAAAAGCGTTAATCACTCGTATTGATTCATAGAAATGCTTCATTCACAGGAAACGTTTCATTAAACATTTGTATTCCTTTATTCCTATCGCATTGTCGAAAACCCGGTAATTAACTTTTAATCTGAGCACAAATATTCATTCCGGTAGCGACAAAATATTTTTAAGAAACTTTTTGGAAGAAATTTTGTATATCCTTCTAGCTTCAGTTAAGTTAAGGCAAATAATGCTAATCCAAAAGTAAAAGTGACAGAACTTCTGTTCCGTTTTATGAAAATAATATTTCGGCGGGGGAAAGGTGGGGGAGTCTAGAGTTTTTTTTATATTTTCGATGTAAAAGTGATATGGGAATCTACTTGCATGATTAAGAAGGTTTTTGTTTAGTTTGTGTTCAATAAATCATGAAAGTGAATCTGTGAAAGTAAATCATGATCACCATAAAATATCGACGCTAGGACACCTTTATTACAGAGTGGTTTCCAATACAATGACAAATTCTCACATGTCCACAATAGTCTAAAGATTCTTGAGAAATAAACATAACTATATTAACACATACGATCACATAAGCACCAAAGAACCAATGATTTAATAATCCCTTAAAGATAAGGATGGATTATGGTATAAACCAAATAATGATTCATTTTTTTAATAAAAAGTGATTTTCTGAAAGCAATAATTTTGAAAACCTAACTTTTTGAGCAATAATATATATGTAAAGGTTTAAGTATTTATTTAGAATAAGAGCGTCACTTGAAATTTGTCCATAATCTTTATTTTATTCATTGAACATACGATGATGTGGATTAGTCTTTTGGTGAGTTATATTATATATATTATATTTTTTTTACTTTAAAAAATCATGGAGGTACTGGCACGCATTACAGCATAATAATTGTTGGTTTTCTTTATATTTTGAGAAGAAAATAAAGTATTCAGGGCAACCCTGGTACAAAGCACATAAGAATGTGAACAGACTATATTGTCAGCTAATAAACGGAGAAAAAAAGAGACGTTTAACTGACACAAAAATTTAGTGATTTCACTTTGCATCAGTTTTATATAAGGTCCGAGAGAAGAATAAAAGAATAAATATGACTTCTTACTGCTTATAGCTAGAATAAATGGCTCATATCTATTATTAGAATGAATATTATGACTTATTACTATATATTATCAATAATCAGAATAGTTATGGCTCATCTCTATAGTTAGAATAACTATATATATATATATATGACTTACCGCTAGGGGAAAAGGTGATTTAAAAGAAAAATGGAAAAAAGAATCCTTTCATTTTAAAAAAATATACCGTATGTTTCGTGCAACCATGTACAAAATATCAATTCCTTGTAAGCAAACTTTTAATGGGGAAGTAAGTATCACGAACAAATTGTATCTCAAGTCGCAAGAAATTGTCCACCATTCTATAAAGTAACCAAATATACCCAAGATGGACACTGATAAGAATTTTCAGGTTTAATTTCTCTTCAACTTCGTATTTGATATGGCCTTCCGACTGTTTTGATTCGAGCGCCACCTATGAGTCATATTTAAAACTGTCTGGCGTACCAAATTATAAGCTGGAAACCTTGAGTTTTAACGGAAACATGTACAGTACTATATAATGTGGGTACATTGTATACCATTTTTTCAGAAATGCTTTTGTCAGTTAAAACCAATCTTTGTTTGCAATATTCTTTAGTGTCTACTCTCAACACAGTGTTTGATTGTTTGAACCACCACAGAACAAGGAAAACTTTCCAGTAAAGAACATACAACATTTCTAACTTAATAAACACACAATCTTATTTTCCTTGCGGTTTGCAAAACGGAATTACTTTGTAACCAAACAATCGAGATCAAAAAGGGGATTGAGTGCTCCAACAACTAGTGTAACCTATACACATGATCATGTGCCTATCTCAAGTAAAGATCCTCCAGTACTTAAATCCATTCATACCTTTCCTTTTAAATTCGGGGGCAATTAAGAACAAGTCAGGCATACTGTATAGGCATTTTATAGTTTGCTATGCGATATGGCTTTTATTCATTGTTGAAGGCCGTATAGTAATCTATAGTTGCTAACTTCTACGTCATTTGGTCTCTGATGGAGGTCTCATTAGCAATCCAACCACATCTTCTTATTTTTTATATTTGATTTTTACATATTTCTTTGTTGTGTGTGTGTATCGCTGGGTCGCTGTCTCATAAACGTATACTCAACATCCCCTTTTATTCAAACAAATTTGAATCAGTTATATTCGAATTTAGTTAAAACATCATTTTGACCATGTGTGTGAGTTATAACCTGTTCAATACTTGGGTATACAAATTTTCTACAGAATTTTATACATGCAATAACAAAAATATTATGAGTCCTGGGTATTTTCGAACAACTGATAACTGGTAGTTTTGCGTCATGTAATTAAAACCCATATACAATGATATGTAGCTTATTAAAATAAAGTCTTGTATACAAGATTATGTATGTATGTGTGTGTTGTTCTTTCTTTATTATTTATATGTGTGGGATGTTATCTTACAATAGTGTAAATGTTTAATGATATTATGCCAAAGACACTTTTGAATTTTGTTATTGAAGTTTTTGTCATGAAAAACTAAAATTAAGCTGTAAAGATTCTTAAATTGGTGTTAGAAAAGGAATTGTCCAGATGCATTGATACCAGGGTCCAACAATAAAGATGTAATAAAAGGCATTTAAAAAAAAGTACATTGTTTATTATTATTTTTTTTTTTATTGTAAAACTATTTTTTAATATAAAAAGAACGAAAAAATACCTATATAAAGTGTGGAGTATAGATATGACAATTGTTTTGTTTATATTAAATACGATGGAACTGACAAAGAAAAATGACCTACATATAAGATCTTTATTTATAATTAGTTATGAATAAGGTCCGGTTGGCGGAGGTTGATGACCAGAGGATTGATTCATGTGTAATGAAACAATAGCATTATTTCATTTTCAAATATTTCTAATTTTAGGAGTGAATTGCATAATTTTGTTTAAATGATCTCGCAAAAATAATGAAATGCATTCTACCATATTAAAAAATATTCGAAAAATTGATTACTTTAAGAGAATTAAATACTTTATATATTGTACGATCTAAAATATAAAATGAAAAATATATGAATAAGTAAACATTAGATGACTATTTATCAAAATTATAGGTAGCGCCAGGTGGTTTCAGTTCTCTACTACAGTTTGACAAGCAATCATTCTATCTGACGATTGCTGTAAGATTTGAGATTTTATAGAAATTTTATCTCACAATTGAACGTTTATAATGATTTTATCGAAGTCCTTTAAAAAGTAAAATTATGTCATACAACCACTATACCAAACAAACTCCAGATCATCGCTAAGAAGTTGATAAACTATCGGTTTATTAACTATTGCACACTCACAAGCACAATATTAAAAACGGGCTTTTTGATGATGATCCAATTGTATTCAAAATGTTCATGAATACTTTCCATATACAAAATAAAACTGTTATGCTCCTGATTTCACATCATGTTATGCATGCTGCAAGATTTTCTGATTGATACTTTTGACTATCTCAAGGTCCATATTTATTTCGTGGGAATAAATGTAAGATATTATTAGAAGAAACAAATTATATTTTATATTTACGCCACGATACTGGCTGAAATCGTTAAAATCTACATCAACCTATTTCTCAGTATAAAATCTTGTAATGAATTAAGATAAAACCCTGTGGGTTCTTTTATGTTAGCCCTAACTCCCGCCAATATTTACAGCAACCCAATATACTTTCATTTACCCTCGGTCGTTATCGAATGCCCCCTCCTGATGTAAAGGACGCTTATCTCCGACTCTGTGACTACAGTTTTCAATTATTATAAAACATTTATGCAGATCTAGCGATAATATTTATTAATTTCATATTCTCCGATCTTCGATAACTGTTGTGAATATATTTTTGCGTAAACTTCCTACGTTTGTGTGCATGCCGTTAATTTTTTTTATGTTGCCAACATATTACTGATGTTTTGCTAAAGCTATTTCAGATTGTTTTATTTAAATAGGATTTGATAATCACCTTTTGATTTACAATGTTGTTATGCAATTCAATCATTGTGTGTATAGATGAGTATCTTATAGTGTAACTTGGTCTAAAGTCAGTAAGGGGACAACCATTTGATTTTCTAGGGTGAGGTCTCAGGACGAAAATGAAAATTCCGCAACACAAAATGCAGGAAATAATTGTGTTCAAAATTGGAAATGATTTTGCGTGGGGTAAAGTTTCGGGAAAAAAATAAGTGAACATTTCATCCGAATAAGTTCTTACTTCCCCCCTGAATATCAAATGTTCGTCCCCTTACATGAAATGAAAAAAAAGCAATATGATAAACCGGTTATTTTTTTTTAATCCAGAAGATAATCAAGAAAGCAACAGACGAAAAAAAATGGCACCAGGTCTGCTTTTTGTATGACCGTCATATCTTAATGTTTTACTTTATTTGGAAAGTTGGAATTTGGGGGCAGGTTTTTGATTGTGCGACTGTCAGTTGGATTTATTCACAATTTTAGTAGAATCGGGACAATTTAGAGCTTGGCATATTGTATAGACACCTGTCTATTGTTAATGTCTCTATGCCTTTTTTGTTAATTTTGTCGTCGAGTTGCTGTTTTGTTGACTTATACCCAACACCTCCTTTTATTCATATGCATACAGTGTAGTTTCATATCTAAAAACCAACCTTAGACAGTAATAAAACAATAAAAAAGTAAACAGACGCTTTCAGGTTCCAAGTCTCATATATAATAATTTCAACAAGTGTTAAAACCTAAAAAAATCAGAAAATTGTAAACTTGGAAATAAAAGATTTATCAAACCCTTTTGTATCAGCTGTGAATTCGAGACATAATATTTCTGAGTTGGGATTTTCATTTTTCTGGTTATTTGACGAAGAAGAGGACACGACATGTCCTTTTTATCTCAGGGTTAGAACAATCCCGGGTTTTATGAGTATTGCCCAGCCATGTGTGAAATACTGGGAAATCCCGGGTATTATGAGTATTGCCCAGCCATGTATGAAATATTGGGAAACCCCGGGTTTTATGAGTATTACCGAGCTGAGTGGGAAATGATGGGAAAACCCGAGTTTTATGAGTATTGCCGAGCTGAGTGGGAAATGATGGGAAAACCCGGGTTTTACCGGGTAAAACTGGGCAATACTGGGTAATATAAAATATACTTGCATGAATCTTCAGAACTCACTGATCAATTACAAATACAATATATAACCGATATATAAGTGTAAGACATAATATTTTAATTCATAATTTCACTGTTTGAGACTTATTATAAATTTGAGAAAGTATTGGTCCAGCAACTGTAGGAAATACATGAACACACATATATACAAATGGGAAAAGTTTTCTCAATAAAGATAATCCTCCAAAATAATATCAAATTGCCAAAACTGTTAAAATGGTACCAAAGAAGTCATTTTCTTTTAATATATATTTCTTATATTTAATAAAGCAATGAATTTTTGCTCATTGCCATATTTTGCATATATCCATGTACATGACTCATTAATTAATTAATTAATCAAGTAATTATTCAGATTATAACAGATTTGGTTTTTTTTTAACAATAATAAGCCTTTTCATATCTATTTGTTTGACATGTTCCCTTATGGTGTATTTAACAATTTGATTGTATAGCAATTCTAATTTACAATTCACTAATTCATCATAATAAAATGCATTTATTTTCAAACATTGGATTAAATCAAATAAAACTATAAATAAAACAAGGTATCCAAAAATGTGCAAAATTTAATGTATTATGCATTATATAGAATCATTTTAGTAAAAGAAGAAATCGAATTTGTATACTCTGAAAATGTCTATCTTTTTAAAATGTATATATTTAGCAATAATACTATGAAGCTACAATATGTCTTTACTAGTATGTGTTCTGTGTTATAAATTAAGCTTTGAAACCATATTACTCCGTATTATCCATTTCTGGGAGTATTGCCCAGTCACCTTGGTTTTTCCGCTAATTTAATACTTTGCATATCCTGATTTATCCATGTTTAATAGCTTTTGAAATTACATTCGCCTCATTTTTCAATAAAGTTCGGTGAAAAAAAACACCTATACTTTTGTCAATGCGCCCCAAAAAAACATATCTTAAAACGGAATAAATTTCGTTCATCAATAACCCTTGAGGGTAATGGATCCCACTAGAAACATATATATTATGGGGAAAACATAAATCACCATTCTATCAGTAAAGGAACAGAAAAGATTTTGCCATCTGAATTTCATTTTCCTTTATAAAGCAACCTTAAAATAACTACCATGCTATTTGGTATGGATTTTGCTCATTGTTGAAGGCCGCACAGTGATCTATAGGTACTAACTTCTACGTCATTTAGTCTCTGGTGGAGAGTTGTCTCATTGGAAATCATACCACATCTTCTTATTTTTATATTCATATCCAAATTGGCCTAAGAGAAGTAAGAAGATGGATCATCCGCCATGACAATGTCACAAGTTACCTGTTTAAAATATTTAATCCCATGCAAATGAAAGAAAGTTTGTCGAAATATAATCTATTTTACAGTAATAATAAAAATTAAAATTTTTAAAATAAAGAAAATTTTGAAACGCAAGTCTAAGTCTTATATCTAACAAACAAGTCATTACATGTCAAATTTTATTTAGGTGCTTTTTTCAAACCTTGTTATATTTATCAGTTTCATCATAACTAAATCCACTTTGTTTGTTTTTTCCTAAAATAAATAATTTCAATTGTTTTCTCAAGCATTCAGATGACTAGGCTTATGGCCTTAAGACAGACCTAGTTTTAGTGGACTTTAACCTCTCGGCCCTTGTGACAATTTGTTATTAATATTTAATGACTTGTAATTGCTTTCTTATGAGAAGATATATCCGATGCAGTAATATAGACAAATATAGACATCTTCACATGATACGATGACACTTCATCCTAAGATACTTCAAAGGAATGTTTAAGTGGACAATTATGAAAAACATATAATCTTCATTCAAACTGATATGTAATAAGAAGTTACCACAGAACAGTCCATATTACGCTACACAGTAAACCTGAGCAACACACACACACCAAAAACCGGGGTGATGTCATGTGCTCTGGAAGAGTCGGCTACATAGACGGCAATTTTATTATTAATTTTCAACATTATTTCTGTTGAATATACTTCTAAAAACAGACATTTGAAAATACTAGTACCCAGTTTTGCAACGCTCAGTCGAATAAAAACAAACATTACACTGAAATCTCTGGACTGAATATCTAGAAACCTCATTGCAAATACGGTAATGCAGGTGCTTCGGAAATGCAAACGAATCCTGTTTTACATGTAAAAGATTTTACACAACCATCAATTTTCAATGAAAATATTTAGTTGAAACTTACCTCTGCTAGTTATTTCTAGTATCTGAAAAAAGAAATACATATATATTTTTTTAGAAATTTATCTTCCTTTTTTTTTTATCTTAATCAGATTTCATTATAAATGTAATGTCAGTCGGTAAAAATAAATTGAAACTATTTGTTTTATTATGTTCATACATTTATTTAAAAGATAGAACTTATATATTTATATTCTCTTTCTTAAAGTCATTTATGGGACAACAATATTGGGTATTGCACCTTGTCAAATTGAAACACAAAAGAAAGGTGTATTATTTAAACCTAACCTGCCGAAGTTGACTGTATGTAAACGCCTACTAATGAGCTAGCTGCTTGATAGATATAAGTTGGAGATTGTTTTGCCGTCTGTAATATTGTCTACTTTTCAATCTCTCGAAAACAAATGTGGGATGAGATTTAGAACAAGGAAAAGGCATATATAGAAATTGTTACAGTCATGCATGTTGTATTTATCATTTATAATTCCATGCGGTTTTAACTCCACTTAATGGACAGTGCCCTCTTAAGACAATTATTTGCTCAAGTTGTTAATAAGGAGAATAAAATTTGTACATAATTTCTAAGTACGTATATATTTAGTACGTTGAAAAATCCAGATTTTCATAAGAAGGACGTCCGATATGAATCATAATGTTTTCATAAGAAAAGAAACAAAAATGTATTTCTTTGAAAATCATATATATATATATAGATAGATATACATGCATACAGAAGTCTTAGTTTTAAGTGTCTCATTTGGTTGCTGTTTCATTAACGTTTATTGCACATATCCTTTAATTGGGATATAAGTATACCTTCCAATATATACATGCTTTATTCTATAATAATTTACCCTTATATATATCATATTTATTAAATTCAAATTCAATTTGTACAAGTTTTGGTTCGTATGCTGTCTCGTTGACCTTTATCTTAAACTTTTTTTGTTCAAATTACACATTAATTTACGATGGAAAGAAACTTGTCTATCTTATCCCTTTTAAAGAAACAATCTACTTTTTTTAAAGATTAGTTTTGAATAAAGGCAGTTTGGGTTTTATTTATTTCACAAGTATATAATGAGTATTAGTTGCTTATATCTCCTTCACTTGGTCTCTAGTGGATAGTTGTCCCATTGGCAACAATACCACATCTTTTTATATATCCAAGGTCCTCTGAGGTAATCTTTGCTTTGCATTGGTTTGAGTAAATAAGCCTGATTTTAGAAAAAACAGCATTTATGTTAAATATACAGAAATCAATGCCCGCTATATAATGATACCATCAACAGTGGATATCACAAGAACAGTACCAGCATATAGTTTGTTCAGTGTGTACTATTTCAGTTCTAGGAATAACAAATGCTTTAAAACCACGCTATTCAACATAAATTTCCATCCATATATACTTGACACTTAAACAAAAGAGACTAAACTACATTTGTTACACATAAAACTAATAACCGTGTGCATGTTCTTTACAAAAGCAAAATTTCAAATAAGTCTATGTCGTAAATACTGAATCTGACATTATATTACTCTGCAATGGAGGAAGCTATAATAAAGATGCAATGGTGACACAAAAATGTACATTGAAGGACGAGAGATCGGTTGATTGAATAGCTTTTCTTTAACTTCCAGTGACAAGTATTTCAGATCAAATCAGGACGAAATCAAACTAAACAAAACATCAAATTAGACAAATAAATAGGTATTCTTAATATAGAATATGTTTGCCAATAAGACAACTATCCAACAGAGTGCAAATGAAGCGCATTTAAGTAACTATATGTCACAGAATGGCCTTCAAAGATGAGAAAAACCCATACTATAAAGATTCCCTACATAAAAAAATGTGAAAAAATTCAAACGAAAAACCAACGTCCTGATTTTTTAGGAAAAAAACTATAAAAGAAAAACAAATATGACAGACAGCAACCACTGAATTATAGGCCCCTGATTTGGGACAGGCACATATAGTTGGTTTTGAGGGCAGGTCATTTGGACTCACAAAAAAGAACACAGAAGACGAGAGTAAAACTGTTACAATAGAAAACATCTTTACCAACATATAAATTAGTCCCAGAACATATCTATAGAATTGATATGACTAAAATGTAAATTTATTAATACCGACCGTAACTAAAAAAATGTCAAAATTATGTCAAGTAATTCGGATGGTACCTACCATTTTATATGCAAACGGGCATAGTAAGATAATAAATATATATTAATATATACTTTTCATATAATAGTAATATAATGAAAACATATTAATATACTTTTCATAGAGGAATAGCTATCATCTATAACAGTGCTGATATTAACATTGCGGGTCCGTTGTATATAGTATATGTTTTGTTGAAATAAATGTTACTTGTTATCTATCCATTATAAACTGTAGAAAGATGTGACATTTTCCCTTTTGTTACGAAAAGATTTTGTAGATGTGTTTAAGTAGTGTATATTAAGTGTGTATACTTGTGTTTACCACATTACTTATTCCATTCAAGTTTTGGACGCGTAAAATCTGTATTGAAAAAATTACAAATTATATGTTTATACAATATTTAAAAGCGGTGTCGCAATAAGATGCTAGTTTATTTCGGCATTTTTGCGCCTGTCCCAAGTCAGGAGCCTCTAGCCTTTGTTAGTCTTGTATTATTTTTAATTTTAGTTTCTTGTGTACAATTTGGAGTTTAGTATGGCGTTCATTATCACTGAACTAGTATATATATTTGTTTAGGGGCCAGCTGAAGGACGCCTCCGGGTGCGGGAATTTCTCGCTGCATTGAAGACCTGTTGGTGACCTTCTACTGTTGTCTGTTCTATGCTCGGTTTGTTGTCTCTTTGACACATTCCCCATTTCCATTCTCAATTCTATATATACATATACAACATGTTAGTGTAAAAGAAAAAGTGTAATATTTATATATCTTATATAATATATTATATTTTTACTTCATATATAACCGATTTATGTATTTAAACACTAGCTGGAATGGGGTCTCTAGGCTTCATTTTTTTATGTTGAAAATAGATAACCATCTGGTTGTCAACACTTCAGTAGAATTCAAAATTAAATGAAATTATTAATATTATACTTCAAATAAACACAGGTCGAAGCTATTTTTTTATTGTCAAATCGTGATATTTTACTGATTTGGTCACACATCACGAATGCATTCTAATCATATTCAAAATATCACATGTGAAATATGAATAAAAGGGGAGGGAAGACGAAAATTATAAAATATCACAGTTAACAAAATATATGTAAGCAATTAAAATTTACCATAGTTTGGATTTTTTGAAGTGATAAAACATTTAATGATGCTTTAATATAATTTCGAAATTTGTATATAATTTGATGGCGTCAGTTCATTCTTATTTAGAAAAACAGGAAAATATATTCCAGAAAATATCTCTAAATTAACACCGAAAAACAGGTTAATCATTGATAAACCAAAATCAGGCCATATACTATTTTTATGTTAAAAAAATCAAAGTTAGCTCTTAAAGCTTTTATTACGTTCCCACGGAAAAGGTTATCGCCAAAAATATTTGCAATCTTTAAGTTGAATTTTGTTTTAATTGTAAATAAGTTTTCTAAAAAAGAATTAAAATTAATGCATACATATTTTTGATTTGCCAAAAACTTTTGTAGAATTATATACTTCAAGCAAAATTTCTCAAAAATAAAATTTATCCTGCGTTATTTTTAAACAATTGTGCTATTTTCACAGGAATTTTCAAATCAGTGTCCACTTAAAAAATGTCCTATATTATTATTATTATTTCCCAAGGTTTTCCTGGAATAGAACTTTAGATACTTACATCTAATATTTTGAATCATTGATATTTGATCATTATTGATTAGTAAATACTTGTTAAAACACGCCCATACATATATCAATGAATCGAAATATTCTCAATCGGAAATATATAAATTAAATATAACTAATAATAACTTACTACCACAATGAATGAATTATTGGCAAGTCAGCATTATACTTAAGACCATAAAGCGAAAAAAAAATCCCTATAACAGAATTTTATATTGTTTTAGTGTTAGTGACTTACAATTATATATGATATGTTTTTTATCCGTATTCGGACATTTTTCTTATGAACACAAAAAATGCTGCAACTATTCTAAAATAAATATGTTCATTCTAGTAGTTTAAACTTATTAATTCGAGCATTACTATAAATTAATTTTATAATATTGTCATTGTTTGGTATCAGTTTTCAGCTTATAACTTACGAGTAGTGATATTTAATTAAAAAGTGCCGAAATTATTATGTATGAATATATATTAATTCAAGTACAACTATTCCTTCTAATGAAAAGCATCTTAGATGAAGAAAAACAAGATAATTTGAAATATCTGATTTTATGATAAAAGAATGTCAATTTCGTTCTATTATTATACGTGGGCAATTAGCTTCTTATGATACTTAACTTATCAGCACTTAATTTACATTACTTTAAAGACCCTCCTACTGGCTATATGGTGTGAAAAACCCTCGTACATACGGAGATAAACTAAATAATTTAAGATTTCTCATAGTAAGTAAATACTTCTATTACCCTCTTAACATTTATGTTTATTTATACTCTACAATAATATAAATTCTTTAAGACTCTATCTCTCTCTCTGAATATATATATATACACACTAAATTAAGGAAAATATTTTATTAAGACGGTTGTTTCAGCTTAGTTTTGACCTACTGAGAAAGCGTGACTTTTTCGGAAATAATTATTTAAAGATTATTACAAATTATATGTTTATTTCGTGGAAAGGGGAAGACTTCCTCTATAATCAGATTGATCCAGCCAAACCGTGTGTAAAACCGGACACGGGCGTAAGGTTATCATACATCCCTTTCTCTAATTTGGAAAATAAAATCCGGAAACTTATACTTGTTAGTTTCCGTACCAGAGAATCATAGCGTTTATCCACAAGAAATGACGCATTAGTCTCACTAATTGTCAAAATATGTCGATTCAAATTTTTAC